TCTATTTCTGTATTTATGTGTCTATCTCTATGCTCTTGGGAGGTAGAGGGGGTCTAATGCTGAATGTCTGATCCCCATGAAATTCACTTTCTAACTACCATTTCGACCTTTTCTGTTATTTTTGCTCTGGTTGAAAAGGAATTTATGATAGAAAGAACATTGGAAATAACATTAGTTTTTGCCCTGCATTAAAAAGCCAGTGTTTCAGAAGCATTTAACTACTGATAGATCTGTCTGGGCCTTGACTTTTTTTGGGCTAGACTCAAGTTCAATATCTCAAGCATCAATTAAATATTAAAATTAATTCTGAAATGCAAATAACATCATCAAAATGGAATCCACATTTTATGGATGAAAATGTTAAATTATCAAGCCATAAAGCTTTCTGGCTTAAATATATCTTCAGAGCCTAAGAAAAGGAAAAAGGAAAATTTATTGAAGACTTTTTTTATGAGATGTCCACATAGGTCCAGGTTATTCTTCAAAATTACTCCATAATACGTAAATGTGTGCCAAAAGCCAACAATTATGTATACCCAGTTTGATTTTCATATAAAACCTGAGAATGTAAGTTGAAATGATACCATTGTTTCTGTAAAATGGGAATCTATCTCACTTGTGTATAACTTTCAAATATCTTTGATAAGGGTAATCTATGATTAAATTCTACTTAATATACTTTCTTTGTGCCAATTCTTTCAATTTTATGCATTCTTGTCAACAACATAGGTAATTCTCATCCCAAATGCTAGATTACCCAATTATATGAGCATTATTTGAATGTAAAATCTTTCCAGATTTTTCCCTTGGAGTATTTTTCCAACTTTAATGTTAAAATGAGTATAGAAAGGTAGAGAAATGAACTTACAGAGAACATTATTTTTTCTTAAAACTAGCCATCTGGATCACATTACTTTAATCTTTAATATTTATACAATTTCGTTTATTCTTTGTCTTGTAGGTAAAATGTTTCAGAAAGTGGTTTTATGCTTATTTAATGTGTGTAGAATTGTTCTTTCTGTTAGGAAAGGATGGGACATAGAGTCAAGTATCTGATCTTCACACCAGAAGGTGGGTCAAAAGTTCTTAGATAATTTATCTATTGTGCTACTACATGGCTTCAAGGGGCCTAATAAAAATTTCTATAAATTAACAGCATATTAGGAATGGCGGGAAAGGGCTCCGAAAATCTCTGGGCTGGATCTTTCTAGGTGAATAAATAATTTCCAGTATACAAGGATGTATAACCATCCTAGTAAATTGTGTATAACCCTCCCTTGAGCTGAATTCCTTCTTGAATTTCTCCAGGTATATCTGTCTTTGCAGTCAACAAATGAGGAGGGGAAGGCTGTGTATTAACTCTCAAAATGGACAGAGTGATATTTAAGTTAGCTAATTTATCTCTTTGTATGTTTTGGGTTATCAAAATGTGAACTTTCTTACTAATTGTGAATCAGGAATATAATACCCACAACAATGCATTTGACCTACTCATATTTCTTAGATGCATGGAAACTATGTTTGTCAGTGTTTACATATCACAGCTTTGTTGAAACTCTCATGGGAATTGGGGCTGTGTCTGGTGTCCTCATTCCCAATCCATACCTACAAAAAATTTGATAGAATAAAAGGCAGATGGGTACTGAAGCATGATAAATGTGATTCAAGGGGTATAATCAAGAGTATTATTGTATTAACTGGTGTTATTGTAGTATATAACTGTTGGATATAATCTGTCCTGCACATTTATAGAGGTACCATACTATATTCTAATATTTTCTAGGTGGAATATCATCATGTTTGTTTTTTTTGTGTGTGATAAGCTCACTTTCAGAAAAACATGCCCCAAACAATTACTTTTAGAATGAGCTTTTCGCCCATGCTGGGAGGTAATAGCATCCCTAAAGGTAATTGAGTATAACGGAAGTAGATGTAGAAGGACTACAAAGTTTGAAAATAGGGAAAGGAAAGATTAAGATTGCAGATTCCCAAGGGAACAACTCTTTAACTCTTTGAAAATCCTTAGCGCAGCATGATACTAAAGAATGAGAAATAGCTGGGGCGGCACCTGTGGCTCAGTGAGTAGGGTGTCAGCCCCATATACCGAGGGTGGCAGGTTTGAATCCGGCCCCAGACAAACTGCAATAACAACAATAAAAAATAGCTGGGTGTTGTGGTGGGTGCCTGTAGTCCCAGCTACTCAGGAGGCGGAGGCAAGAGAATTACCTAAGCCCAAGTGCTGGTGGTTGCTGTGAGCTGTGACATCATAGCGCTCTACTGAGGGCAACAAAGTGAGACTCTGTCTCAAAGAGGAAAAAAAAAATGACGAGAAACAGCCAAGCATCTGAAATACTAACACAGATAGACAAGGCGATTTCAGGCAAGTAAGTCTTCCTGAAAAGATACAAATTATAGGTTTAACAGCTTGAAATCATAAAGTGACAAAATAACGCTCTTTCCTCAAAATAAATGAATCAAAACAAACAATTTACATAACCACTGTTTTAAATGTCCCTTAGGAGATTAATGCAGAGGACCTTGGACAAAACTGAAAATTTGGAGACCCCATGAGTGCATCTTTTGGGCCTGTGGGCAGACTGGGAGAAAGCCACAGAATGCTAAATGCTTACCATTTCTTGTGGGCTGGAAGGTGACAGCACTCTTTCACTTGGGGGTGCCAACTCTCATTGGTTGGTCCTTCTGCCTTTAAGACACTGCTTTGTGAGATGATTACCCAGGGCCTGAATAAGCTCCAAGATTGAAATATCTAACTGTTGGGTGGCCATAAAGTTCATGTGCAATTTAATAGATAAGGATTTTAAATTATACACGAACTTTATAGACACCCTGTATTTCAATTGTTTATCCTTCCTATGCTATCCTTGTACGTGTAATACCATTAGGATCACCCAGCACTTGAGATATTGTGGGTGATTTGAAGACAATGATATGGCCAGAAGTGATAAGTACATAATGATAAAAAATAAAATAAAAAATAAAGCAGAAATGCAATCCATTGACAAAAGTCTGCAGGTAGCTCTGAACAAAATTGAATGAATACACTCAAAACAGCATTTTTTCTGTAAGATAAACATGATTTTTTAATATCTTTTGTGCATAATGCACTCATCTATTTGTTGATTAAAAATCACATTTATCTGTGATCAGTCTTACCAGCAGCTAGAATGCCTTAGCCAAGTGAAATGATTACCAGATGAGTAGAGTGACAGTTGCAGGTCGGGGTGAGGTCCAATATTAGACATCAGTAATCATAAAATGGCCAAATGTTCTTGAATTAGGAAGCTACTTTTAAGACTTGCTCTGGATGCAACTGTGCAGAATCAGAATCAAAAGAGAGACTCTGCATCTTGATCCCAGAAACACTGAAAGAACCTTGAAAGGGGCTGACTTGGCTTCTCAAGAAGGTGAAGTTTTGTCACTACAGTATTATAGAATGGAGGGCTTCCTCATCTACCAGTGGAATTTCCTAATTGCTTCCACAGAGCTTATCAAACCCATGCAGAGAAAACTAGTTACTGCCGCTATATTTTGGCAGGTTAGAATCAGGTGCCTTGGGCTGTGGAAAAAGTTAGTATGGATGGTGAGCTTTCATTAACGGTGAGGCCACTTGGGAGAGGCGCTGCGTCAAGGACTCTCACAGTGGACCAATGCTACACCAGAATCTCTGCAGGGTTGTTTACAACAGAACATTTTGTAATTTGATTTTCTAACTGATAAAACAACAAAAAATTAGTGGAATTATGCTTTGACCCAGAGAGAGCAAAGAAGGGTGGAATTAGAAAATTTGAACATAAAATTTGCTTAGAGCAGGTTGAGAATCATTGGGCCACGACATTTTGCAGAAGGGATGTTAGATGGTCAAGGACTTTCTGGTCATTGAATTACTCTTTTTGCTGTTTAAAGAAAGATTTTGGCTTATTTTGTGTTAAGATAGAGGTTGGTACCTAAGAGATATATTAATTGTTTAATATAAGAAAATATTTAGTGCTGGGCTCTGTGGTACATGCCTATAATCCTAGCACTCGGGAGGCCCAAGTGGGTAGATTGCTTGAACTTTGGAGTTTGAGACCGGCATGAGCAAGAGCAAGATGCAGTCTCTAAAGAATAGCCAGGCATGGTGGCAGGCACCTGTAGTCCCAGCTACTCAGGAGGCTGAGGCAAGAGGATCACTTGAGCCTAAGAGTTTGAGGTTGCTGTGAGCTGTGACGCCACAGCATTCTACCAAGGGCAACAAAGTGAGACTCCGTCTCAAGAAATGAAAAGAAAAAAATATTTAAATTGTACCTGATTCTCTTCACACATGAAAGTGTGCCAAATATGACCACATAAGCACATGAGGAACTTTAAAGAAAATTTTAAAGATGATAAGATGAATAATGCATCATTTGCACATACATAGTGGGCAGATTCTATTTATTGTAGTAAGAACTAAATCCACTGTTATCAACATAAACTTGCAAATGAGTATCTGAACGTTAGGAGTCATATTCTTTCCCCAGAAATGGTTATTCTATTTCTGATGCCCCCTCTTCTTCTACTATTTTGACTGTATGATATATGAAGTCAATAACTTATATGATTAGAAATTATTGATGTAAGGCAGAAGTTCTACTGGGAACCGAGAGGAATACAGTATATTAAAATAGCAATTTACTTAAGTATCCCTGGGAAAGCAACTATACTTCCCATGCTCAGGTTGTTGAGATTGATGTGACAGAACACTCCGCGTGCCAAACAGCTGTATGACATGGAGCTCTTCATGGGTTCATGTTCTTGGATGCAGAAAGGATGTAAGGAGAATCATACTCAACAATGTCAAAAAAGAATAGTGAAATGGAGGAATGTCCAACATTGATCTTAGAACAGCAGGATAGACCAATATTCTGACAATGTGTTCTCTTGGGACATCCCAAAGAGAACCTCACATGACCAAAGGGGTGCTTTCTTTCTTTCGGATGAGGATACCAACTGCACAATAATACCTTTTTGATCTTTATTTCTTCAAAACATGAAAACAAAAAATGAAGTCGATGACAATGAGAAGAGAGAAAACATTCCGTACAGAAAATGCTGTATTACTAGTGGTTAAATCAGAAACAATTAGAAACTTTATTTGTCTGTGTCAATGATGTGTACCATTTATAAGGAACAGCACAATTAGTGCACTTCCCCCCTAAAGCTGTGCACAACACACACAAAATAAAATAGTCAAACAAATCAAATGAAATAATTTTACAGAACTATCATAATTAATAACAACCCTGAACATCCAGAATCGTATTTTCCTATAGCATGAAAATTTAAAAAGCAAACAAACCAAAAAGCTTTGAAGTTGAAATTGACCGACAGAAAGAATTTCTTAAAGTCCTCTGTGAAAATTTGCTACGGGATTATTGACATTCCTAATATGGCTAAAAAATGAGTGCAAAATCTTTCTAATGTTTCAACAACTTATATCCCTTGGTGTTTACTTGGTGTTTCTAGGCTAGCTTTCCACTTAGTAAATCTCCCAAGGGGGGGAAAAAGCCTGGGTTAAAAAAAAGAAGGTCATCAATGTTGGTCGGCGTGACAGGTTAGTGATAGATCTCCAAGACAGATAAGGACTCATAAAGGTGTGGGTTGGAGAGAAGCACTGTGGCCAACAACTATAAAAACTGTGATTAACTGGGCTCAGGAGTTGTATGTGATAGGTCAACCCATCACCGACATGATTGCCTTTCTTGGTTTCAAAGTGGGAGATGTACTTATCTCATGTTGGCCAAGGATAAAGAGGGAGCTTTTCCAAACCTATGCTTTATACTTTCTTAGTTAAGACAATCTCGATGATATATGGACAATTACACTTGTACACTTTCAGTGTGTTTATGTTAAAAAGGTTTCGTAAATGTGTTTTTCCTTGCAAGATAAAACTATTTCCATGTGGCTTGTCTTAACTTTTCCTGGTAAAAATGGCAATCATACGAACTGTCATCCCCTGAAGGGCAGTGATCTGGGCTGTCTTGTTCATGATTCTAGTCCCTGGAAATATCGTATCACCTGGCATATTGAGTGAGTAACCAGCATTTAATTATTCTTTCTGTCACCAAATGATGTTTACGAAATGTTGGATGATTACTGAGTGGAAGAAGGAAAAATAAACCACGACAGCTTCAATTTCTCAAGTATCTTTGAATCAATCTAGAGTGCCAGGGATGTCTCCAGCCTGAGATTCCTTATAAATAGAGACATCTCTGGGAGGTGACCGAAGTCATTCTATTTTTTCTCATTAGTGGACTCACTACTTTGGAATGTTGGGTTTATCCACGTTCTTTGGTATTCTGCAATAGAAAGAGCCATTCCTTTTAAAGGGCTAAACCCTCCCAGTGCAATCCTCCTGGGAGGCACTAAGAACATCTACTTGCCTTCTCTTCCATCACAAATAGAAAAGACACACTTCCAAAGGCCCACTGGTTACCCTGGCTTCTTTCTGAGTCAGGAACTACCAATATAATCAGAGGGGTCTAGACTGGACAGTGAAATAAACAGGGATGGAAATAGCCTTTTACATTAAAAAAAAAAAAGTAAAATGAACGAACCAGCACTATCTACAATCTGTGCCAGACAGAGCAGATGTGAAATAAATACTTTGGAGGGAAGGGTGTTGAGGAAAGGGTGGCTCTGAAAGCCCAGGCACATCTAATGCAGCCACTTTTCTGCAAGGCCTTTCCCTGTGACTTTCCCAAACTAATGGGTGATTCTTAGAGGCCTCTGATGTGCTCTACATGGCTAATTTTCCATGAAGATCTTTGTATAGTTTGCCTGTTATCCTCTCAATAACTTTAATTTCTCCCCACCTGACAGTTATTGCTACTTAGAAATGCATGTGCAGATCCATAAACAATAAGCCATTTTTTCTCCTTTGTCCCTAGTAATAATCAAAGTCAATAACAGCACAAAAGTAACAACTCAGGTGAAAAGAAAACTCGCTTATGTCTTCAATGTCCAATCAACATCGCTGAATGGGAGAACAGTATATGCTCTACTCTACTATGTACAGATAGGCTTTGTTTTATTTGTTTTTCATCCATGCACTGTGTTACAGGTATCACAACAACATTTCCAAACAGGCACATGAAGAAGGAGCAAAGGTTCAGTTACGACTGGGACAGGATTGTGCAAGCCATGGATGCCTTTGAAAATAAAACTGATGGGCAATCCCAGGTGACAGCAACATGGCCCTGGGACACATATTAATGCAAATGAAGAAGGATGGGGTTTTTATTCTTTTTTTGAATGGGATGATTCTTCATGGGGAATGGCAGGTGGCCAGGAGGAAGGGGGTGGGAATGGGACACTTAGGGGCTTAGCTGGTCTGGAATGCTGGAATACGGGCCTTGCTAGTCACAGTCCAGAGCTAAAGAGATAAGAAATAAAGGATTTTGCATGTTCCTGGGAATCTAGGCACATTATCCCTATACCTGTTGAACAAGAGTGCCAGTCACATAGCCTTAAGTGTCAGACTATATCTAGAGCCATCGCATTTCCTGGCTCCACTCTAGGTTCTATGTTTCTTCTTGGAGGCAGTTTCACTTCTGCTCACATCCCGGAGATAAGCATGAAATTTGGTAATATGGTGAAGACATGCTTCTTTCTTCTTCCATGCCCAGATCCTTTCTTAATCCAAAATAATGTTTTAAAGTGTTTGGAGGAGGTGAGGGGAATCTTAACCAGTTAAATTTTTACCAAAAAACCATTTACATTTGGATGGGTCATCGCTTCCCACAAACACAAGCAACAGCCCTGACCCTCCCAACAAAACAAAACAAAACAACAAAACAAAATAAAACAAAACTATCAACAAAAGCCAAAGATCAACCACCTCCCCAGTCCCACTGAAACAAAATTGAAAACAAGAAAATAAATCAAAGCCTTAACGATTTGTGAACCTGGACAGAGTGCGCCCCTTCCAGGCCTTGCTGTAAGGAGGACCCTGCCTCCGCGCCTTGTTCAGTACGACGATGCCCCTGGGGGTGGGAGGTGATGGTTTCTTACTTCGGCCCTAGTACAGAGTATGCTCTTGAAGCTGGATTCCGTCAGCAGGTAGGTGAACATGACAAATGTCAGTTTCCTCTGTTCATTATACATAATTTTTTATGTATATATATATGTATATATATATATAAATTTACTATATCTGGTTGTTCCTTTAGAAGCCTTTTATGTGGCAGTAGGCCTCCAGGGAGGAGAAGAAAATGTACAAGAGCCACAGGAGCACAAAGAGGGAGGATGTGAGGAGCTTGGCAGTCCGGGGCCCACCCAGCTCACCTCCAATTTCTGGCCTCCGCCGATACAGCAGCACCCCCACATTGATGAAAGCAAAAATGGTGAAGAGAGTGACAGAGAAAGCTAGTGTGCCAGGGGACACTTTGAACTGTTCCCCGTTGGCTGCGTGGTAGATGGCAGCGATGGACCAGGCCACGCCGATTCCCAGAAAGACATTCACCGCGTTGCTGCCAGTGACGTTACCTATGGATGCGTCTGCATACTGGTCCTGGGTGGCCGCCACTTTGCTGGCAAATGTGTCTGCAGAGGAAGAAGAAAAAGGCAATGACATTCAGTTAAACTTCCAGAGATGTCTGTGGAGGGCTGGAAGTGTCAACTGGGTACTGTTGATCTGTGGTTCCCAACCCTGGAGGCACATCCTGGCCCACAGACTATTAGGAAGCTGGTGGCACAGCAGGAGGTGAGTGGTGGGTGAGCAAGCAAAGCCACATCTGCGTCTACAGCCGCTCCCCATTGCTCACATCACTGCCTGAGCTCTGCCTCTGGTCACATCAGGGGCAGCATCAGATTCTCTTAAGAGCACGAATCCTACTGTAAACTGCACATGCCAGGGATGGAGGCGGCACGCTCCTTATGAGAATCTAGTGTCTGCTTGTCTGAGGTGGAGACGTAATGCACTTGTATCATCCTCAAACCATTCCCTCTACCCTCCTCGGGATGTGAAAAAATTACCTTCTATGAAATTGGTCTCCGGTGGCAAAAAGGTTGAGGACCACTGCTGTGGTTCAGATTCAAACCCTAAATATAAACACAGTGACCGAAAGTAGGGTTTGATGTTCCTTTGAGACAGAGTCATTTGGTCAAAAGAACAGGGTGCAGATGCTGGGAGTTATGGATTTGGGGCTGGCTGTGTTATAGACTGAGAAAGGATCCACAGATACCACAGTTTTTTTGTAATATTGAGCCTGCCAGGCATTATTTTTCAGAGAGTAATCACAGCTGACTCACATCAGAATCAAATGGGATTCTTTAAAAGAGTGACAATTACAAGGCTTCATCCAGCTGTGCAAGGTCACAATAACTGGGGCCCAGGAATCTATTTTAACAGCATCCCAAAAGATTCTAGGTCACTGAAAATGGCTGCCGCAGGATATTACTCAAAGATGCTGTATCAGCAGCTCCGGCTTACAAATAAGAAAGGTAAGGCTTTCGGAGAGATTTCCAAAGATTCAAGAGCAAGTCAATACTGGAATTGAAAAGAATTGAACTGTGATAACAGGTGACATTTGCTTAGCCTCTAATGGAATTTGCCTATATTCTGCATTGATTGTGATGATTCTAAATGTGAGGAACTCAGGCTTAGAGACAATTAGTCACGGGTGCAACTTCTCACAACTAGGAAGGAGCCATATGAGAGCCCAAGCTCTGGCCTGCATCTTCAAGGCTGACACCTGCTCATCGAGCCATCTTTCCTTTTGCTATGTCTCGGGTAGCAGTAACCATCATCTCAGCTTTTTGTTCACCTGTAATCCTGAATGTTTCTTTTTCTGAAGATGGGAAAGCCATGACCCACTCCAGGTGGTCCAGAAGCAGTAACTTATACTTCTTATTGAATACTTCCAGGGAGTTAAGAGCATATTTGAACCTCAGGGTCGCAAATTCTGCCTTTGCAACAGACTATGTGACCTGACACAGATTATTTAACTTGTCTGGTCTTCAGTTTCCTAACTGTGAAATAGAGATAGTGATGTCCACTGTGGAGTGCTGAATAGGTAGAGATATTATGTGTAAAATGCTTTGGGGCATAAGGTAAGAGTACCTCTATTTTTGTTTTGTTTTGGAAAGAGAATGTAAACAGAGCAGGCCAGAACAGATTTAAAAGTTGGAGTGGGATCTGAAATAACTTTTTATTAAGCATGTAAACAAATATTTACCTTACAAGACACTAAATTTCTTGTCTGTGTGATGCCTCATTACTGATATCAAAGTCCATTCAGCTAACTTGGCAAAATACCTAGCACAGTAGATTGATCGTAGATAATAACAGCTTTCAAATTGAGCTCTGATTTGCAAAACCAGTTACAGAAAGTATTATATGACTATAGGTGCTGTATCCTCCAGAGGTCCCTGGCATTCTCCGAGCATGCACGTTGTTGTACAATACTTCCACTAGTTTCTCTTCTCTGTCACCATTCTGTTGCCACCATCCTTCCTCAGTACATCTCCAGTGGGGACAATATATAAAGCATGTAAGTTTGTGTCAGCCTACACATTCTCGTGCTTTACAAGGGTGAAGGTTGCTTGGGCTTCTCAAAGACTACCGCATCTGCAGTGTCATAGTCTTTCTGAATGGGACTTGGCAGCCCTGAGGGACTGTCTCACTGATTCTGACCTCTGTGATGGGAAGCAGGTTGGGTTGCTATTTTGTAATTACAGAAAGAAAGCAAAGGCTCCTTATTCCATGCCAGTTGCCATGCTGCCCAGGATACGTGTCTATTCTCATTTAACCCTCTCACAAGCCTTATGTACTAGATGGTATTATTCCCCCTTTATCATTTTGGAAGCTACGATGTTGTGATATTACGCCTCTTGGACAGGCTTTTAGTCACGATTAAATGAGAATTTTTTAACCAAGACTGTTTGATTTCAGATCCCATTCTCAGTTCACACCACACTGTCCTTCCCAGGAAGGCTAAAGTTTTCCTTTCTTCTTAGACCATCGCAGGTTGCCCTGTTCCTTCCACTCAGAAACTCGGAATTCTCTTTTCTGTAGTAGGGGAACAAAGACCGAAGGAGGTCTGGGTACCGTACTGACCCACCTCCTGGATTTGCGCTGATCACACATCCGTGCAGCCCAGTCAGGACTATCCAGAGACTGATGAGTATAAGCAAAACGAGACAGATTGTAATGGTCTCCTGAACTTCATTATTCAGAGTTAATAGGAGCTGCTGCAGCTGCAGCATAAAAAAGGGGAAAAAGTACTCATTTTTCTTTTATTTTTCAAGGGCAGGCAGCGGAGCAAGGAAGGTCAAGCAGTGAGTCTGAGCTGGGAGGAAGCAGCTTCCAGCTCAGCTGCTGCCGAGGAACACCTGGAATGTTATTCTGAGCGGAAATGGCTGCTAGCACCAGCCGGTGAGAACAGTGGCCCACGTTGGGTGGGGCACTCAGGGAGGGAGTATTCCCTCCTTCTGCTGTGGGGCCGGGTGACCTGGAGCTGTTCTGTACTACACACCTGCTTACCTCTCCTGGCACCTGGAGCATGGCCCACTGGCCTTCCTTTCTAGATGACCCGTCTGCCACTTCACCAGAAGGGAAGGAGATACAGAAAGAAAGATTTCTGGGGCTGGGGATGGCAAACACCCAAACCAGTCCCTTAGGCTGAAGTCAGGGACGTACTTGGGTCTCCAGCCATTTCCTCTTCCTTCAGACATTTTTTCAATAGCTTATTACCATGTATGTGAACATTGCATGTGAAATGTTTATTGGTAATGATAGGGTCCTCTTCTTGAATGTCTTTCTATGGATTCCCTAAAAAACAGTAGCCAAAGTGACTAGCTTGTCACATAAATGAAGCAAGTCTGGGGGCTCTTTGAGTTTGGCAGGTTTTATAGACCAGGGTCAGCCTTCAGGCTTTACATCTTCTTTTATTTCCAATTCAAAAGCTGTGTTTGGAAAGTGCTATGAAGATGCCTCAAAGAACTAAAAGTAGGACTACCATTTGATGCAGTAATCCCATTAATAGGTATTAAGGAAAAAAAGACATTTTATCAAAAATATGCTTGCATTCAATTGTTTATAGCAGCAAAATTTATAATCACAAAGATGTGGGAAAAAACCGTAGTGCCCATCCATGGATTAATGAAATGTGGTCCGTGTATACCACATCACTAAAAAGTGATGACCTGGTATCTTCTGTACCAATGTGGATGGAATTGGAGACCATTGTCCTAAGTATCATAAGAATGGAAGGACAGAAATCCATGTACTCAGTACTCTACTGGAACTAGTTGAGCAACACCTGTGTGCACGTATGGAAGCAAAACTCAACAGAACTCCAGTGGGTGGGAGGAGGGAAGAGGGGATGGGTCAATTCACATCTGATGGTATATCGCACACTTTCTGAGTGAAGGGCACACTTAGAACTTTCACTTAAAATATACAAAAGCAAGCTATGTAAGGAAAATATATGTAATCCCATAATATTCTGAAATCAAAAAAAATCCTAAAAGTTATGTAAAAAAAATTATAGGAACATACACAAGTCTAAATAACTAACCTTTTCCCTGACAGAGATAACTGTTTTCCAAAGGAAGTGTGATAGTTCCTCCCACATTTCCTTTCATGCTGCTTTGTTGCTTTGTGCATAGAACACATCACATATGATATGTTAGCTCCTTCCAAGCCCAACCCTGAACGCTACGTCTGTAAGGGGCCTGTGGTTGAAAAAGGCAAATACCGTTCCTTAAAGTAAAAATTCAAGAAGTAACTATAGGCTCAGTGCCCGCAGCACAGTGGTTATGGTGCCAGCCACATACACTGAGGCTGGTGGGTTTGAACCCAGCCCGGCCCAGCTAAACAATGACATCTGCAACAAAAAAGTAGCCAGGTATTGTGGTGGGCACCTGTAGGCCCAGCTACATGGAAGGCTGAGGTAAGAGCATCACTTAAGCCCAGGAGTTTGAGGTTGCTGCGAGCTGCGATGTCACAGCACTCTACTGAGGGTGACATAGTGAGACTCTGTCTCAAAAAAAAAAAAAAAAGAAGTAACTATGGTCTTGGTCTCAGAGGGATTGCAATCATATTCAGAAGCTGGTCCATTAAATACAAACATAAGAATTTCAATGTGTTTGGGATAAACTGAGACATATTAGCAATACCATAGAAGTGTTTTTCCTATGTATATAGCCTGGGCCTGGTTTCTAAGAGGGATCTTGGCTACTAACTTCCACCATGAATTCTAATGAATTTTAGATCAGTTGCATAGACTCAGATTTTTGATCCTGTCTCCTTGATACATATGACTATAAATCAAGAAGAGTGATGCTTTGGGGGAGAGAGAGCATGGCTGGAATTAAACTACACATCACAAATCAGGGCATAATTGTTCTCTGCAGATCACCTCAAGCTCACTTCACCTGCCTCAAGGTTGTTTACAACCTTGCCCAAGTCATCTAATCAATATGCAAGAAAAGGCTAACACTCTCCCGTTTCCTTCAGAAATTATTTTTTATCTGAGTTTCTACCACTTTACAAATAGACTAAGCCTCCAACTTTACATCTAGACTAACATCCCTTAGGT